GTTTTCCCCAGCTTTTGCTACTATAAACAACACTTAGAGGAACATCCTTTAGCTAAATCCTTAGACATATCTTTAATCACTGTTTTAGGAAAAAACCCTAGAAGATGAATTGCTGGATCCAAAAGCATATTTGTATGGCCGTTGATATTTGTCACTTGTCAACTTGTCTTCCTTTTCATGCAACTCAGGAGTTGCACAAATGCCTATGGTTCCCCTTGCCCTTGTGTCATCTCCTTTTGGCCCCATTAAACTATGCACCAGAGGACCACCTGAGGTCGGGAGTTCGAGACCAGCCTGGCCAACATGGTGAAACCCCATCTCTACTAAAAATACAAAAATTAGCCAGGCTTGGTGGCACAGACCTATAATTCTAGCTGCTCAGGAGGCTGGGACAGGAGAATCGCTTGAACCCAGGAGGTGGAGGTTGCAGTGAGCAGAGATCATGCCACAGTACTCCAGCCTGGGTGAGATGGCAAGATGCCATCTCAAAAATAAATAAATAAATAAATAATTTAAAAAACAAAACAAAACAAAACCATGCACCAGGGACTGAAACTGGGGTATGAACAGCATCCCAGACCCTGACCAAGCCATAAAACTGTTTGTAAAGAAGCCACCAGACAAGGCTTAGAGGTGCTGCCTAGGCAACCAGAAAACAGGGACCTCTGCCAAATCCACTCTCCCCTCCACAGGCCTCTCTCCAAGCTGCTCTCCTAGTCATTTTCATCACAATTTTGGCAGCTTCTTTCTACTTATCAGAAATTTAAGAGCAGAGAATTAAATTCAAGTCCCGCATTACTAAGCTTTGTTATTTTTGCAAAGTACACGTTGTACATTCAGTGGCACACTGCAAAGCATTATCATGAATTATTTAAATGAAACCATCCTTGTCACAATAAATGAGCAAAACACATTTTTTCACTTTCTTCTTACATGTTGTTATTTCTCTTCACGGATTTCTTACTTTGCAACATTAACTAAAATATGATGAGCCCCGCAATGTCATTACTACAAACTACCCTACCTTAGTTCTGCTGATCATGTATTTTTTTTTTAATGTGACAGAAGCATTTTTCTTTCTTCTTAAGATTCATTATACTCAAATGTGTCCTTGTAGCAGCATAGAATAGGAACAAATATGAAATATGTATAACCAAGGTTTACTTTTGGAAGTAATTCATATTCAATTCTCATTTGCTTTGCTGGGATGGAACAATAGATGCTGTGAGGTGGGAAGGTAGTAGACATGAAAATCTGAAGATACTGAGACCCTTCTTTGGAAAGGAGGCCAGAAACATTTCTGTTTTGCCTCATATTTTATTAATCTATTTTATAATTCCAAGTAAATGAGAATAAAACTTATCTCAAAGGCTAGCAAAATGATCCTAAAGTCTCAGGCAATGAGGACAGTAACTCATTAGAGATTAGCTGTTCTTGGCATTGCCACAGTCTTGTTCAGCTTGAATGTTAATCTCTAAGGAAATTACAGTTATTACCTGTGCTTTATTGTTGATACTGACAAGATCCTCAAGTGACACTTCTGTCTGTGGATACTACATGCTACCAGTACAGGCCCGACTCCATTCTTTGCCCCTGTTTACACGCGCGCGCGCACACACACACACACACACACTCTCTCTTTCCTTACAACGGCATGCAAACAGGTTCATTTTATGCCACTCTGTTTCGTCTCAGGATGTGACAAGGCTACATGGACAGGGATTAAACAAACAGCAGTGACTTAAGGCCAGGGGAGGAGGAACACAGAAAATAAATCAGCAATCATTAAAACTTGGAACTGAAGCAAACTTTAAAAAAAATATTTTGGCCACTTAAAAAAAACTTTTCATTTTGCAATAATTTTTAACTCACAGAAAAGTTGCAAGAATAGTACAGATAATGTGTTTATCCCTTTTACCTGGACTTCCTCATTTAGTTAACATTTTCATAGTTATGGCCGGGCACAGTGGCTCACGCCTATAATCCCAGCACTTTGGGAGGCCAAGGCAGGCGGATCACTTGAGCTGAAGGGTTCGAGACCAGCCTGGGCAACATAATCAAACCACATCTCCACTAAAAATACAAAAAAATTAGCCAGGTGTGTGGTGCATGCCTGGAGCCCCAGCAATTTGGGAGGCTGAGGTGGGAGGACTGCTTGAGGCTGGGAAGCACAGGTTGCAGTGAGCTGAGATCGTGCCAATGCCCTCCAGCCTGGGTGACAGAGCCAGGCCCTGTCTCAAAAAAAAAAAAAAAAAAGTTAACAGTTTAATAGCTAACATTTTACCATTTTTGCCTTATTACTTAGAATCACTTGAGAGTAAATTACAAACATGATGCCCATTACCTTAAGGTTGTCAATGTGTTTCCTAAAACACAAGGTGTATACACTGCTGAAAAATCAAAGTACATCCAGCATTACCAGGAAATCAGCACTGATACAACACTACATCCACCCCGCAGACTCCATTCCCATACTCCTGATTGCTGCAGCAATGTCCTTTATAATCACACTTTTCCTTTTGGTCCAGAATCCAGCCCAGGGTTATCTACTGTATTTAGTTTCCATGTCTCTAGATCCGCCTTCAATGTGGAGCAAATGCTCAGGTTTTCCTTGTCTCTTATGACTTGATACTTTTGAAGAGTACAGGCCTGCTGCTTTGTCAAATGACCCTCGATTTCTGGTTGGGTGATGGTTCCTCAAGATGACGTTCAGTTTATACCTTCTTGGCAGGAACAGCGTGGAAATGATGCTGTGTTCTCTGTGGATTGCATCGGGGGCATAGCATGTCAATTTGTCCCACAGCTGGTGATTGTATCCCTTGGTTAAGATAGTTAATTATTAAGTATTTTGTACTTAATTTATATTTAATAAATAATTTAAAAGTATTTGATTAATTTTAAAGTAATCAAAAACTATTTTAATCTATGTAAATATCCTGTTTCTTATCAAGCTTCACCCACTAGTTTTGGCATTCATTAATCATTCTTTTTTTTTTTTTTTTTGAGATGGAGTTTTGCTCTTGTCACCCAGGCTGGAGTGCAGTGGCGCGATCTCTGCAACCTCTGCCTCCCGTGTTCAAGCAAATCTCCTGCCTCAGCCTTCCGAGTAGCTGGGCTTACAAGCATACACCACCATGCCTGGCTAACTTTCATATTTTTAGTAGAGACAGGGTTTCACCACATTGGCCAGGCTGGTCTCAAACTCCTGACCTCAGGTGATCCACCTGCCTCGGTCTCCCAAAGTGCTGGGATTACAGGCATGAGTCACTCATTAATGATTCCTATTTGAAGCAATTATTAATATGATGGCCTCCAAGCGGTGATTTCCTAATTTCTTAATTCCCTCTGCATGTATTAATTGGTGTTCTGTTATGAGGTAGTTTTCCTTCTCCCCTATTTATTCATTCATTCATGGGTATATTTATATCAGTATGGACTCAGGAATGCCTATTTTATTCAATAGGCTATATTACATTAATTATTTGCTTTGAAACTCAAATTATTCCATATTTTGCCGGTGGGAGTGACTTTATTAATAAATTGGCTTCTGTATTCTTTTGGTTAAGTACTTCCTTATTTTCTGGTGTCAAGACATTCCAGACCTATCTTATACTTTCCTTATCCCTACCCTGGTATCAGCCATTTCTCCAGTAAATTCTGGTTTATTTTATTAGGAAATGGAATTGAGAAACCAGTATCTGAGTTTATGGTGTGTTCATTGCTTTTGGGATGTCATTGCTTTTAGGTGCTCTAAGATGAAATATATGTACACACGTGTACATATACAGCTATCTGTCTCTATTTGTGTATCATTCATTTATATACATATTTTAAAACATGAGATTTTACAGTGATATCTCCAATTTCTCTCCAACTCCATATAGATTAGTCTAGCTTTCCTCCTTTACGTATTTGTAGATCCTTTTTCCAAAAGTGAGAAACCTAGCTCCCATAATCTTCAAATCTTTCCCAACCCCCTGTAAACAACCGATCTTCCAGCCATTCAGAAGCCATCGTCTCCTTCTCCCCTTCTGCACATGGCTATTGCCCCACCGAGTCTCTCCGCACTCTTCCCGTAGCCACGCCAGGCTGAGCAAACCCTCTTACTGACCCGTAATAGCACATTATTCTTTTCTATACCTGCTACCCATTTGGGACAAATGATTGGCATTTCAGAATATGGCCAGCTTTGTGTCAAAAGAAGGATTAAATACATCACATAATATAATGTGTCAGCTCCAATGGGGAAGAGAATTTGGTCTTATAATAGAGGCAGCCACTCAAAGGGAAAAATAAATTTCTTCTAGAAGCACTGGTCTAAAAAAGCAAAAAAGTCCACACACAAGAAAATCTCAGTGAATATATCTTTGCTTTGAATTTCAACTCCATTAAAAATCTTGGGTTCAGTTTTAAATTGATAGTGAAAACGTTTTATAGTCTTTTTCTGTTGAAAATCACACCAAACTAGGTTTACTCGAAGACTGTTTTCTTCCTGTAAATTTTAGATATTCTTGTTATTTGTCTTCCTGTTTAGAATGGATAATTCAAAGCGAATACTTTTTTTTTTTTTTTTTTCAGACAGAGTCTCATTCTGTTGCCCAGGCTGAAGTGCAGTAGCATGATCTTGGCTCACTGCAAACTCAGCCTCCTGGGTTCAAGTGATTCTCCTGCCTCAGCCTCCCGAGTAGCTGGTATTACAGGCACGTACCACCATACTCAGCTAATTGTTCATATTTTTAGTAGAGACAGAGTTGTGCTGTGTTGGCCATGCTGGTCTTGAACCCCTAACCTCAAGTGATCCGCTCACCTTGGCCTCCCAAAGTGCTGGGATTACAGGCTTGAGCCATCACACCCGGCCTGAATGTTTTTTAAATCTAGATTTATGTTTTGTTAGGATTTTTTATAGGTAGAACACTGGAGGAAGATCAATGACCAATATTTATGCTTTTTAGTCAATTTTAGACATTAATGTTCTAAACTAAATTTCTCTTTCTTTTTAGGTTTGTCCAAGACTGGTTTTCAGAAAGGATGCAAGTGGCCAAAGTGGATTTCTCTACAGTGTTACCACGCTTCATTTCTCTATATATCTTTTCCTTTCTGAGTCCGAAAGATTTGTGTGCAGCTGCCCAAGTCAGCTGGCCCTGGAAGTTTTTAACTGAACAGGTTTACTATTTGTCACTTCCTAGTAATAGGGCACAAGTACAGCTGTAATCTTAAATGAGGCTACTAGGGTAGCTCCCTTCCCTGAAGACAATAGCTGAGGGTACCTGATCCATCCCTTACCCTTGAGAGAAAAAATAGGGATAAGTGAAATAATGTATTTCTATAAATAAATAAGGCATATAGACTAGTCCAATAATTCCTGTGACTTAAAAAATCTTTAAATACTCCGTATAATTATTTAGAAAACATTTTATCTTGGTTAAAGAAGTTCACTTTCTTTTGAGACAGAGTCTCGCTTTGTCACCCAGGCTGGAGTGCAGTGGCGCGATCTCGGCTCACTACCACCTCCACCTCCTGGGTTCTAGCGATTCTCCTGCCTCAGCCTTCTGAGTAACTGGGATTACAGGCGCCTGCCACCACAGCTGGCTAATTTTTGTATTTTTGGTAGGGACGGGGTTTCACCATGTTGGTCAGGCTGGTCTCAAACTCCTGACCTTGGGTTCCGCTTGCCTCGGCCTCCCAAAGTACTGGGATTACAAGCATGAGCCACCGCGCCCTGCCAAGAAGTTCACTTTTCTTCATGAAAAATGATATATGTTTTAGATTTTGTATATTATCTCCAATAACTCAGCTCTAGAAACTGCTACACAACCACAGCCTCAACTGATCCCTTATTGTCTAACATCTGTTAAAGAACATACATTGAGATCTTAACAGCAGTTGAAAGCAGTTAAAAGCAGCAGCTGTTTAAAATTAACATCTTTTGCCATTAATTCTGCCTCTGGGCTGTCCCTTTTCTTGTAAAATATTTAATAAAATGTAACAATATACATACTTTTTTTTTCAGAGACAGGATCTCATTCTATCACCCAGGCTGGAATGCGGTGGTGCCATCTGGCTCACTGCAACTTCTGCCTCCCAGGCTCAAGTGGTCCTCCCATCTCAGCCTCTGGAGTACCTGGGACTATAGACATGCACCACCACGCCCAGCAAATTTTTGTAGTTTTAGTAGAGATGAGGTTTCGCCATGTTGGCCAGGCTGGTCTGGAACTCCTAGGCTCAAGAGATCCACCCACCTCAGCCTCCCAAAGTGCTGGGATTACAGGCGTGAGCCACTGTGCCTGGCTTAGTCTGTTTATAGTTCTGTAAACACTTACATATTTGTGTTTAATCTATCATTTTGCTATTTTTTGTTTGTCGCATTTAGTTTTTTCCCTCTCCCTGTCTTCCTTTGCGTTAATTAAAATTTTTTTTTCAGGCCGGGCGCGGTGGCTCACGCCTGTAATCCCAGCACTTTGGGAGGCCGAGGTGGGCAGATCACGAGGTCAGGAGATCAAGACCATCCTGGTCAACATGGTGAAACCCTGTCTCTACTAATATACAAAAATTAGCCAGGTGTGGTGGCGGGCGCCTGTAGCAGCTACTTGGGAGGCTGAGGCAGGAGAATGGCGTGAACCTGGGAGGCAGAGCTTGCAGTGAGCAGCGATCGGGCCACTGCACTCCAGCTTGGGCGACAGAGCAAGACTCTGTCTCAAAAAAAAAAAAAAAAATTTGTTTTTTCAATTGTTAGATTCTTTAACAGTTATTTCATGGTTACCATAGAGATTATAACATATAACCTTGTATTAATATTATCTTACCATTTCTAAGACAATGCAAGGAGCTTAGAACCCTTTAACTTCATTTACTCTCCTCTCAGTTTCCATGCTTTTTTGTTAAAGATTTTTATTTTATATATACTAATAACTAAGAGCCTACTGTTGACCAGAAGACTTACTGATAACACTAACAGTCAATTAACACATGTTTTGTATGTGTATTATATACTGTATTCTTCAATATGGCAAGCAAGAGAAAAGAGATTGTTATTTAAACATTCATGAGAAAATATATTTACTATTTGTTAAGTGGAAATGGATCATCATAAAGATCTTCATCCTCATGTTGAGTAGGCTGAGGAAGCTGAGGAAGAAGAGGAAAAGGAGGAGGAAGAGGAAGGGTTGGTTTTGCTGTCTTGGGGGCGGTAGAGGTGGAAGAAAGCGTGTATAAATGCACCCATGCAGTTCAAACCCGTTGTTCAAGGGTTAAGTGTGTAAAATAAACATATATAACACATAAACACTTATCTCACAAATCTTTATTACTATTGTTTTATATAGTCAATATTTATTCATATATGACCATATTTTTTTCTGTAGCTCATTTTTTTCTGTTCCGCATCTCCTAGTTTCCATTTGGGATCATTTTCCTTTTACGTTCTATTTAATATTACCTCTAGTACAGGCGTGTTGCTGATAAATTCTCTTAGTTTTTGTGTGTCTGAAAATATCTATTTCATCTTCATACTTAGAAGATATTTCAGTAAGAAATCTGAATTCTAGGTTGGCAGCTAATTTTTTTATAGAACTCTGAAATATTTCATTTTTTTTTTTTTTCTTGAGAAGTCAAGTTTTATTGTTGATCCTTTAAAGGTCACATTTCTATCATCTCTAGCTGCTTTTCGGACTTTTTCTTTCATTTTCAGTAACGTTATTGTGATATACCTAGGTGTGAGTGTTTATGTACCTTGTTTTGTGTTTGGCTGTGATTTTTGAGTCTGAGACTTAATGTCTTTCATCAGTTTTAAAACATGCTCAGAGGTTATTTCTTCATATTGATTCCGCCCCATTCTCTCCCTTTTTCTCCTAGTATTCCAATACTTATAGGTTGGAAAGATTCACCATGTCTCATAACTTTCATATTCTTTTATACATTTTCCATTTCTGTGACCTTCAGTATTTCAGTCTGGATTTTCTTCAGACCCATCTTTCAGTTTACTAATTATTTCTTTAGCTAGATTCTAATCTGATCTTAAACCCATCCATTGAGTTCTAAATTTCAGTTATTATATATTTTCAGTTCTAGAATACTGATTTCTTTTGCCAAAATTTTCCACCTAGTCATTTATTTTAGATATATTAATTATAGAGTATTTATTTCCCCAAAGTTCATGTCTGATGATTACAGTATTTGGATTGCCTGAGGATCTCTCTATAGTTACTAAAAACCAAAAAGAAGACAGAATTCTTGTCTATTGTATGTTCTAGTTAATTTTGATTGAGTACCGCATACTGAGTATACAAAATTGATGTGATCCTTTGAGTCTCTGGGTGATGTTATCTTCCTCCGGAGAGAATTTACTTTTGCTTCTGGCATATCTAGTGCTAGGAACAAATCATACAAATCCAGTCAAGGAATGAGATATTTCAAAGCTGGCTTCAGTCTTTGTGAGTTTGTCTAATTCAGTATTGTCCTTCCTGAAAAGAATCTTAACTGAAAGCTGGTGTGATTACCAAGGCTCTTCCTCTCAGTGGGCCCTAAATTTCCATTTGTGTCCTCTCTTCCCTGTGAGAATGCTTAAGATTCTTTTCTACATCTAAGTCTTTTAGTCATAACTTTCTGTTCGGATTCTCAGCCTAACAAGCTTTACTTTGGAACTGACAAATGCCTTGAAGTAAAAAGTGATGCCAAATATCAGGCTTACCTCTCTGGGTTTCCCTTCTTTCTGGGGTCTCGGTTGAACAAGTCCTTATTGCATTGATAGCTCTATAATATAGCCTTCAAATAATTGTATAATATTTGGTCTAGATATTTCATTAGATCAAACCACATGAAATTTTCTTTTTCTTATGTCAAAATGGCTGCATATTGGCAATATCATATGCTTCAGTCAAAATTATTCTCAATGAGAGGGTTAATCTGAAAGAAACTATTCTATTATTGCTAGAAGCTGAATTTTCAGAATCTAGGGTTAATATAACCAAATGCTATTGGAACACTAGATAAGTATCACAAAGAGGTCTAATACATACATTCACATATAATGTATATATTCATCAAATACTATTTTTCCTGTGGAACAAGATATGCTTATTATTTCCAAGTCAAGTTCAGATAGTAAGTCAATAGTAGCATTTAAAAACCTTATATCTGGCCAGGTGCAGTGGCTCACACCTGTAATCCCAGCACTTTGGGAGGCTGAAGCGGGTGGATCACCTGAAGTCAGGAGTTCCAGACTAGCCTGGCCAACAGGGCGAAACCCCGTCTCTAGCAAAAATACAAAAAAACTAGCTGGGTATGGTGGCATGCACCTGTAATCCCAGCTACTCAGGAGGCTGAGGCAAGAGAATTGCTTGAACCCAGGAGGCAGAGGTTGTAGTGAGCTGAGATCGCATCACTGCACTCCAGCCTGGGTGACAGAGCAGGACTCTATCTTAAAAAAAAAAAAAAAAAAAAAAGAAAAGAAATAAAAATAAAAGGCCGTGCGCAGTGGCTCACACCTGTAATCCCAGCACTTTGGGAGGCCGAGGCGGGCGGATCACAAGGTCAGGAGATCAAGACCATACTGGCTAACACAGTGAAACCTTGTCTCTACTAAAAATACAAAAAAATTAGTCGGGCATGGTGGCGGGTGCCTGTAGTCCCAGCTACTTAGGAGGCTGAGGCAGGAGAATGGCATGAACCCGGGAGGCGGAGCTTGCAGTGAGCTGAGATCACGCCACTACACTCCAGTCTGGGTGACACAGCGAGACTCCGTCTCAAAATATATAAAATAAAATATTTTTAGCCAGGCGCGGTGACTCACGCCTGTAATCCCAGCACTTTGGGAGGCCGAG